AGCATGTGACATGGAGCCAAAAGCTAACACAAGACTTTTAAAATCTTTTATCTCTTTCGACGAAACTGTAAGTCAATGCGTGTTTGCATCACCTTGATTACTATTTTTTTGTGTTTTACCTTGACAACCGTTTCTTTGTGGGTGGAAGACTAGGTGAGGTTTACAGTTCATACTATTTTTGTTACATTTTGAGTCATTAAGTGGACCGAAAGCATATTGGATATCTTACCACCACTTGCTATTGGTCCCATACTTAGCTTGGAATGAGAGAATTTGAGAAGGAAGGAAACTAAACTATCCTCTCTTCGGATGAAATTTAATACGTAAATGGATCAAGAACATATGCAAAGCGACTCTGGTGATGTGATCAAACTAAACGAAAGAGAAATGATTTACAAACGCGAAAGATGTTCAATGCAAACACAAATAGAAAATTAAAGTGCTAGATATGAACAGAAATTATTCTGGTTCAAAGAGTAAGATAACTTATCTCCAAAAAAAAAAGAGTAAGATAACTAGGGGGAAAATAAGCTATAATCAATTTTCTCACTCCCTTAGGATATAAATTGGTAGAAAGGAGGCAACTCTACATTGTCCTTCGTTCTTATATGGGTTAGTCACTACTCAGTTAACTGATTCTGCTTGCAACAAATCCCTTCCACATTTCACACAAGAAAAATAAAAATAAAAAAAATCCCTTCCTCATTAGATATAGTCCTTTAGTAATGTCCACGTTATCCTTTCTTTCTTTGGGTGATACTACTTAACAAACAAGCCAAATCTTAAGCAAATTGCAAAAGCGCATGCAATAAGCCAAGGGGTCAAGATATTATAAGGTTTGCTGGCTATTGATTCTTTAATTAAGAGGTATTTGCAACACATTTGAATACTATTAGAGCATCCATGCTCCATGGAAACTACCTACCTATTATTGCAGGTAAAGTTGTGTTATGTGTTCCGCATATATTCTGTAGAAATTTTAACTCCAAACCTACTTCGTTTTTTATCTAGTCTAACAAGATACCTTTTTTTGTTAGGTACTGATTTGCCACCTTTTTTGTTTTTGTATTTTTTTTTCTACAACATGACAGGCATGTGTTATAGATACATAATGTTAACAATGATTTGTAGTTTTCATTTTTCAAACACAAATTTGACATGCGAGATAAATACGAATCCTCTTATATCTTATCTTTAAGTGCGCATTGGAACAACCTTTCTTGCATTTTATTTTTAATTTTTTTGGAGTTTTTCTCATATAACACGGTAGTGAAAATATTCTCCAGGAAAAGTTCCTAAAATCTAGATGAGATTACTTTAGGAATCTTGTTTTTGTAACACATCTTCATCTAATACTCATGTAAATTTCACCTTATGTATGTAATACAGAAATTATCATGAAAATTGCTTATAAACTAATTTCAAATCAAAATCAGAGGTTCCATCCCCCAAGATTTGCGGCATTGCATGTACTTACCTCTGAAGAGAAGAAAAAAGGGTAACAACATTCAAAGTAAACAGGGTCCCATCAATGGAAATTTAGTAAACAAGGGCCCGACCAATGCTTGTCTGCTATCACCATGACTAGTATTTTTTTTTTTTGGTAATTTAGCTTGACTTGACAATCGTTTCTTTTGGGGTTGTGGAAAACTGGAAGATGAGGTTTCCTCACAATGTTATGTGGACCAGCTGATACTGCTATAGAGAAGAGTCATTCATGTCACCATTTCTACATTAGTGTTTATCGAGCAAATTACTGATGATCAGAGCACATTATATACGGGAAATAAAATAACTATTTTTGTCACCATTTCTACAATAGTTATTTTTGTCTAAATGTGTCTGTACTCACTTCTAGTAAATGGACCATCATTGGGGCACTTATATAATAACATTGGTGAAATAAAATAACTATTTTTGGAAGATACTCGATCTGCAGGCCGAGACAACAATATGTTTGAGACCACCATATAATAATCTTTGCAGCTCGATGCTAAATTACTGTGAATTTCATGCTTTCCATATAGGGTATAAAGAATCCTTCAGGGATTTTCATATAAATATCATCGTCAAGTGACCCTGCAGTCATGACGTCCATTAAATACAGTTCAAGATGCATCCTAGTTTCCATATTGATCAAGTAACCAAACGTAATAAAATTCATTACGAGAGAATAAACATCATAATTGATGTAGGGATTTCTGCAAAAACTCTAGTTATTTCTTAATTGCCTCCTTCCAATCATTCCAATCTGAATACTTCTGGCATTCTTGAATGGATTTAAGTTCTGGATTCAGATTATCTCTTGAGATAGCAGGAGTTACTGAGAAGGCAATGGTGTCGCCGGCGACAGATAATATTATCATATTTTCTTCCATATTAATATAGTGTATTGCAACTTTTATATATCATCAACCAAATCTTCATTGTTTCCCATGACATTCAGATATGACTGTTGTTCTGTGTTCCTGGTAAATAAAAGTCTAAAGACCCCAGTTACACACTTTTGACCTACTTCCTATTACTGTCAGCACTGTGCATACACCCACGTCTTGGCTATAAGCTTATTGCTTGTGCGCAGTAATTGGAGTATTGGCTATAAGCCAATCAGGATATCTATCTCTAAGATATCTTTGAGCGCATACCATACGGTATAAATCTATGGTTCTCTAAGATCGAACAGAAAGTAATAAAGAAAGAAATAAAATCATATGAACCATCGAAAACATTTCTGACTTGAGCTTCCATTGATTTATTTGTCAATACTGGTTGAATGAGAGCATGATGTTTTCTGAAATCCTGTTTATTTATTTCTTTATACAAAAATCCCTTTTATTTCTGTCAATACTTGGTGTTCTAAATTCATGCACCTATGTTCTAGGGCATACTTTGTTTATAAATTTCCTACATATGGCAGTGTTAAGATGTGACTAGGGGTGTTCATCAACCGATCCAAACCGATTCAAACCACGAAAACCGAACCGAAAAACCGAAAACCGAATAAATCGAAAACCGAAAAAAAATTACAAATTTTAATTGGATTGGATCGGTTTTCGGATGGGTTGATGAAAACCGATCCAATATATTAATTATCCTCTACCTACTTGTCATTTCTCCTATCATAGCCCCAAAATTTATAAACTCAAGACTTATTAACTCATCAACTAAACCCAAGAAAAAACTTAGTCACGTCTCATCAACTATAGTATTGTTTACTGATATTCTTGTATTTAAAAAAAAAATTACAAAGCCAATATATACAAAAGATGTTATTTGCACAATAATCATGAAACTAATTTTAAGATATTCAAAAAACCGAAAATCGATCCAATCCAAACCCAAAAAAATTGGATTGGATCGGATCGGATTTGAAAAAAAATCTAAACCGAATGGATGATTACATGATCAAACCGAAGGAATTGGATCGGATGAGTTTTGCTTCCAAAACTGATCCAATCCAGACCGCGAACACCCCTAGATGTGACGGTTCTTCATCTTCATCCTTACTTGACTTAATTAGATCATTTTCATGTTTAATTTTATTGTTTCATATGTCATCAACTATTATCTCATACTCAAATAAAATCACCTTGTTACTGACTGTATTCATTTATAGTTAACCAAATATTTGTATTTTTACTCAGAAGACAACATACATGTGCCGATAAATGGTCTCGGAAGGAACTGTTCCCCTTAGAAATATTCAAACGAAACGTATAAAACTTATCCATACATAAACCATGGGGCTGTAAGTAGTTTTTTGTCATTTGCTAGTTAGCCTACGTAACCAAACATATGAAGTGCAAGGGGCTGGCCTGTTTTGCTTATACTTGGCCAAGAAGAGTTGTATTACATGAAATTGGTTATGCTGGGTGTGTTTTGTCTTAAGTAACAATGATTTTGATTTATTCATCATGCATGGGTTTAGTACCATGATATAAGGTTATTTTCGTTCTTTTGGATTTTGGTTAAAAAAAAAAAAACAGAAAAGAGAAACAAAATTTTCAAAGTTTGCAAGTAATAATTAGAAACACTTTTATTTTATTTCCTATCGTAGGAGAAATATTTTTTTCTTTATTATATGCATGAATGCTATTTTTATAAACTGAATTATATTTACTCATCATTTTGATCATTATTATATAGACAACCTTGCGTTATTTTATTCAAATGTGACAATTTATGTTTGATCTTTGTGTGTTGTTAATTCATGATAGGAATTTTTTTTATTTTATAGTTATTTATTGCTATATTGCAAGAGATAAATATATCATAATTTCATAATCTATTTATTCATTTTTTTTAAAACATTATTGTCTTAAAATTTAGGATAAAGTCAATTATCATTTATTTAACAATTGAAAGTTGCGATCGTATTTTAAGAATCTAAATTATAATAAAATACTATTTATTCATCATGCACAAGATCGAATACATATAAATTTTAAATATAATAAGAATAAATTATAGATTTTTTTTTCTCTGTTATTGTTTAATCCTAGTGGTTAAATGGTTGCTATCGAATTTAGGGCTTACGGTGTTTATGGAGGAGACCACTGTAAGCAGCGTCATATCACTAAGCATGATGAGAGGCAGAGAGCCAAAGGAGGTGGCGTGTATATACAATAATGATAAGAGGATATGGGATGAAAGTATAGAGGGTTCTGTACATTGGAATAGGTTTGGTCCGAACCATATGTCCAAATTGGAAGTCTATTGTGCCAGTCGATAGCAATTATTTTAAAATTAAAAGTTAACAAATTAAATAGTTTGAATCCGTAACTTATTGCATATATATATTGTGCTAAATTATATTTTAAACATCATTAATTCTTTAAATAATAATACAAACACATTAAAACTTAGATAAGAATAAAATAGAGTATTGAAAGGCCATTAACTAGATTACAAAAATACAACGTGAAGAGGGAAAGCAAATGAAACATTTGTAAGCATTATCCAGTAGCAGTGGCATGATGACACAATGCAACTTGCCTCCACTAAATCCCAGAAGGGAAGAAACTTTTGATCAGATTAAGCTCCCTAATGATCTCAATCATACTCATTCTTTCTTTTGGTGATTCCATTGAACAAGCAAGTGCAATCCTAAAAAGAGAAAATAAACATCTCTCTACACTAGGATGCGTAAGACCGAGTTTCTTATTGCCAGTACCCTGTTCTAATTCGTAGGGGAGAATAGTCGGGTCCACAATCTGTAAAAGGTGATTTGAAATTGAAATTTCAACATAATTGTGGAGATTATGACCATCTTGAAACATTTCTTCTGTGGGTCTCCTTCCAGTTAACATTTCTAAAATCAAAATTCTGAAACTATACATATCACCTTCAATTGACACCGCAAAACCCATTCCATGCTCTGAAATGTAATTCAAATTAGCTAATATCATTAAAGTTATCATCAAAACAATAATCCAAAAGAAAATAAAAAGGTTAAAATAACAAGAGCTAAAACTTGAAACTAAAAGATTTCACAACTTTAACAAACAATATCATGTTATACCTGGAGGAGTATAACCAATGGTCCCCTTTATTCCAACTGTGCTACTTTGTGTATGAGAAACTCCAACACTTGAGAGCAATCTTGCTAGGCCAAAATCACTCACGTGAGCTACCATACAATCATCAAGAAGAACATTGCCAGGCTTCAAATCACAGTGAATGATAGTTTGCTCACACTCATAGTGAAGATAATGAAATGCTAAAGCAACATCAGTAATAATAATTAACCTCTCCTCAAGGTTTAATGATCTATGCTGATCTGCAATATCTGCTGCTGGATGCAACCAACTTTCTAAGCTTCCATTTGTCATGTACTCAAAAACAAGAGCTTTAAATTCTTGACCTTTGAAATTTGTGCTAGAACAACATGTTAAAATCTTAACCAGATTCCGATGCCTAATATTTTTGAGTGCATTGCATTCAACAATGAAACTCTTGTGAGCTCCTTTCTTTTGAAGATTTAGGACTTTTATGGCAACAACTGTGTCTTCAGGCTCAATAGTTCCTTTGTATACAGAGCCAAAACTTCCAGATCCTATCAAGTTTCTTATTGAAAACCCATCGGTTCCATGGTGTAGGTTTTGGTATGAAACCTTGGCCAGCTGGTCAATTGTTGGTGAATCAGAAGATGATTTCTTGCTTCTTTTCCTCATCCAGTAGAAAGTGAGAATGAATGACAGTATGAGAAGAAAAGCAATTACACTAATTATCGCTAAATTGCGGTTTTTTGCATGTTTCTCACTTTTGACTGGGCATAGCGGTAGATGTAGCTCCAAAACACCTCCACAAAGCTTATTGTTCCCGGTCACTACTAATTCACTTGCATTTCGAAAGACACCTTCTGTTGGTACCTCACCATCCAACATGTTAAATGATACATTTAAGTATTCCAAGAAAGAAATATTCTGCAAAACATCAGGAATTGATCCAGATAAGTGATTTCGTGATAGGTCTAAATGCCGAAGACCTTTTAGTGAAGCCAAAGAGGATGGGATGATTCCATGGAAGGAATTCCCCTGCAAATAAAGGTACTCCAAGCTTGAGCAATCTCGAATGGTTCCGGGAATATTACCATATAGTTGATTCTCAGAGACATCCAGGACATTAATATTTTTCAATTGGCCCACTTCATCTGGTAGACTACCACTCAATGAGTTGTGTGACAAGTCTAGTGTAACACCCCGTTCTAGAACCGGTTTGTTAACATCGCATTATGATATTAAGCGCAGTTACAATCACATGGGTTCAATTAAAATCCGGATAAATTTTTCATTTTAAAACGTACCGAACTTATAATACCCAATTTCGTGATCATAACCATATTACCTTGCGGAAACAGATAAATTAAGCTTAACATCATGTTCATTTCCCATTTTTAAACCATTAATTTACTTCTTGTTTAATTCAATACTTCTACCATATTGTAGGTTTCTTCATTAGCTACCCGTGGCTTCAAATCGTGCTCAAATCGGAGCACTGTAGTCCAAGTTAGGACAATTTGAAGCAACCCAAGAGAGTGTTGGTCACAGGCCCCGCGCGCTTCAGCGCGCTACCGGGCGCTCAAGCGCGCGCTATCGGGCGCTAAAGCCTCCATCTGGGCGCTTAAGCGCACGGAGGCAGTAAGCATCAGCATTTCCAGTGTGGATGGGCGCTTAAGCGCGCAACAGGGCGCTCAGGCGCGCTAGCCTGGGCGCTCAAGCTCCCACTGGGACGTTTTAGCGCGCAGAGACAGAAGCATCTCCTCCTTCAGTGGCGAAGGGCGCTTAAGCGCGGACCAGGGCGCTCAAGCGCGCAACCCTGGGCGCTTAAGCCCCACCCTGGGCGCTAAAACACGAGGGGGCAGTAAGCCACCCAACTTTCTGCAGCAAAGGGCGCTTAAGCGCACGCCAGGGCGCTCCAGCGCGCAATCCTGGGCGCTTAAGCCCCCACTTGGGCGCTCCAGCGCGAGGAGGCAGAATGCATTGGCACTCGCAGGGGCAGCAGGGCGCTTGGGCGCGCTCCTGGGCGCTTAAGCGCGCTGCCAGGGAATTCCAATTCCCACATTTCTCAAGTCCAAGCCTAGGGGAAAATGCATCCCCATTACAAACCCCAAATGTCCATGCCCCAAAAACTAAATCCTAGCACTCATCCAACCTCTCCTCATGAGATTTAGCTAGAATTTGGACAGCATGACCTTTGTTTTCTCATCGTTTACCAGTTTAAACGAAGAGGGTACCTAATTGATTTTCAGCCCAGCCAATTCAACAACTCAATACATAACAAGCATGCATATATTGAATTCCAAGTAGACATCATTTACATTACATATCCTTTACAAATCATAGAACTTAGCTTACAAAACACTATGATCATTCCCTTGGCTCCCATCAACAATAGGTGTAACCAAAGGCATGAGCATAGGCTAAGTTCATCCAATGAATCAAGATATACATATGATCATGGGCTTTCAAAATAAAATCCTATACATGTCAACTACAAAAGGCATGCATAAACTCAAAGAAGTGCCATATTTCATGCATAATCCAGATATGGCCACTTGCCACCAGAGGCTCCTGCAGCATCCTTACCTGAAAGGGGGTCCCCACAACACGGGGTGAGATATACGAATATATCCAGTAAACCAGGGGTCCTTGGAGCATCTCTCCACCCCACAGTTCCATATCAGTGTAATAGCAATAACAATAATAATGCAGTAAATACATATCTATGCAAAGTGCAATACATCTCCAGGAGAAATCCCTCGAGCTCTCAAGCTGTCCTAAGGAAACTCAGATGCAAATAGTCCTACTGGCCAGCTAACTACCAAGTATGATTTACGCATCGTCATGCAACATACCAACATAGGGAAACACCATCCTATGCCACACCAAATGCATACACATACGTATAACAAAGCATTACACTATTTTATTGCATTTATATACACAATCACAACCTCCACCCTTTCAGGGCTTGGTAGAACAGTCAAGGGAATTACACCCAAGGTCCGAAGGCTTACCTCAATGCTTCAGTCAACCTTTGTTCTTCACCAACAGTTTCAGCAATCAACTTTTACAAACATACACCTACACATGGTGTAATGCAATCAACACATTGCATCCAAGAGTATTTCACCATCAACCATCAATTCAAAGCACAACACAAGTATGAGCTTACCAATTCCAATGAGCTATTCAAGCTCCATAGCTTGCTCCAATGGTTGATCACTCACGGTTGGTCCAAATGTCTCAATCCTAGACATCACAAGGATCCAATCAATCATTCAACTCATTAATTGTTCAACATGCTAGGATACTAACCAATCCAAGCATGAATTTTCCAATATTATGAACAATTATCAAATGACTATCTAGGCTCATTTCCACCGATTAAATGACATTCCTAGCATTTTCCATAACATGCTCTAAGCTCCATTCTTCCTAGAACATAGCTAATTCAACTACATTTCATAAAAATCCCAATTTACTATTCACAAACCCTAACTCATGCAAATTTCAAGGAATCATGAGGTTCAAGGGTTAGAATCTTACCACCAATGGTCACACAACCAAGGATTGATGACTCCTCAAGCTTCAATGGAGGTAGAAACTCTCAAAACCCCAAATTTCTCCAAAGGGCCGAATTTTTTAGAGCCAATATCCCACCACACAAAGCTCCCCACTTAAAACTAAGCTTGGATTATGAAAGAGGGCGAGATTCTAAGCGATTTAGGCTTTTGAATCATCCAAAACCATCAAGGTTTGATCTCTCTCTCTCTCTTTCCCTTTTCTTCTTCCCTCTCTTCTCCCTCTCTTCTCTTCTCCTTCTTTTCTGTTTCTCGACGAAATGGGGGTGGGAAATGGGGCTCATTTGGCTTTTAGTCACTTAACATAGGTTAAGTGACTTTAAGCGGGTATTGGTTCGTCTATCTATTCAACTCCAATAATTACCAAACTTTACCCAAAAGTCTGGAATATTAATCTAGGAATATTACTATTTTTATTTTTATATTTTGGGTACTTTTGACAGTACCCATTTATACCCCTTAATTTTCACTGAGTACACTTTTTAACTCCAAAGTGACTCAGATTCATTTTATTAAGCCTCATACTTAATTTCACCCAGTAAAACATGTTTAATTAATTAATTACACTTGATTTCCTAATTAATTAATATGGGCTATTATAGTCACCCCACCTTTTAGCGATTTTGTCCGCAAAATCAAGAACGTACCTGTCCTTAAACTCAGGATATTGCCGGAGAAGCTCATCTTCCCGCTCCCAAGTGGACTCTTCAGGCGTCCTTCCTTCCCATTGGACTTTCACCATAGGAATAGATTTATTTCTCAGCTTCTTCTCATCTCTTTCGAGTATCTTCAGTGGTCCAATCGGAGTCTTCAAATTCTCCCGGATTTCAACATTATCAGGTTGAACCACATGAGAAGGATCAGCTACATATTTCCTCAGCTGAGAAACATGAAACACATCATGCAAATTTGCCAATTGCGGAGGTAAGGCAAGCTGGTAGGCAACCGGTCCCACCCTACGAAGAATCTGGTAGGGTCCAATAAATCTCGGACTCAGCTTCCTCACTCCAAGGGCTCGTCCCACACCCGTAACCGGTGACAGCTTCAGGAACACATGATCTCCCTCCTCAAACTCTAGAGGTCGATGCTTGAGATCATAGTAACTTTTCTGACGATCCTGAGCCTTTTTCAGACGATCCCTAATCATTTTAATCTGCTCCGTAGTCTCCTGAACAAAATCCAATCCAAACCGCTCTGTGTCTCCAACCTCTGACCAACAAGTAGGTGTCCTACACCTGCGACCATACAAGGCCTCGTAGGGAGCCATACCCAAACTAGCATGGAAACTATTATTATATGAAAACTCAACCAGCGGGAGATATCGATCCCATGCAGTACCCTGCTCCAGGGTGCAAGCCCTCAGCATATCCTCCAACGTCTGAATGGTCCTCTCAGTCTGACCATCCGTCTGTGGGTGATAAGCAGTGCTCAGTCTCAACTGAGTGCCAAGAGCCTCCTGCAATGCTCCCCAGAAGCGAGAAGTGAACTTCGGGTCCCGATCACTAACAATGCTCTCAGGCACCCCATGAAGCCTCACAATCTCCTTCACATAGAGCCTAGCCAATCTCTCCGCAGAGAAATCTACCCGAACTGGCAAAAAGTGTGCGGATTTCGTCAATCTATCCACAATCACCCATATAGAATCATAACTAGCCTGTGTTCGCGGCAATCCCACTACGAAATCCATGGAGATACTCTCCCATTTCCATTCAGGAACATCCAGAGGTTGCAACATACCAGAAGGCTTTTGATGCTCAATCTTTACCTTCTGACAAATGAGACACTTAGAGACAAATTCGGCAATATTTTTCTTCATACCAGGCCACCAGAAATTCATCTTTAGGTCCTGATACATCTTTGTAGCTCCCGGATGAACTGTAAAATGACCCTTATGAGCCTCTGTCATTACTTCTTCCGCCAACTGCCTAGGTACAACTACACGACCCTGATATAGTAGTACACCCTCATCATTGCAGGATACACCACTCTGACCTTTTAGTCGTCTAGCACTTTCATTTTGCAGTTGGGCTTCTTTGATTCTGGTCATCAGTTCATTCTCAATGCTTGTGATTTCAAAGCCACAATTTTTACATGGAAAGATTTTAGATACTTGAATATCTCTGAACCTCTCAATCACATCATAATCTCTGATCATCATGCTTGATATACTCACGGATTTTCGGCTCAGTGCATCCGCTACAACATTAGCCTTACCAGGATGATATTTCAATTCAAAATCATAGTCTTTTAGGAACTCGGTCCACCGTCGTTGTCTCATATTCAGCTCCTTTTGATCAAACAAGTATTTCAAACTCTTGTGATCGCTGAATATTGCAAATTGCATTAGAAATGCCTCCACTGCTTCAACCCAAAAACAATTGCAGCAAGCTCAAGGTCATGGGTTGGATAATTTTCTTCATGTGGTTTCAATTGCCTCGATGCATAAGCTACCACTCGCCTATCTTGCATCAGTACACACCCCAATCCCTTCTTGGAAGCATCGCTGTATAGCTCAAATTCACCTTCCGGGTCGGGAAGTACTAACACCGGAGCGGTCGTTAGTTTCTCCTTAAGGCTCTGAAAGCATTCTTCACATTCTTGTGTCCAAACAAATGGAGTATCCTTCCGGGTCAAACGGGTCAATGGCAACACCATGGCTGAAAATTCTTTAATGAATCTCCGGTAATAACCAGCCAAACCCAGAAAACTTCTTATTTCTGTTACTGTCTTAAATATGCGATTCATGTAATCCATAAACACCGCAGGAGCATTAGTGAGTCCAAATGGAATTACTTGATACTCATAATGTCTATATCTAGATCGGAAGCCAGTCTTTGGAATATCTTCCTGCCTAATTCGGATTTGATGATAACCCGACCTCAAATCAATCTTCGGCAGACACAGCACCCCTGAACTGATCAAGCAAATCATCTATGCGAGGGAGAGGATACTTGTTCTTAATGGTAACCTTATTCAACTGACGGTAATCAGTGCACAATCTCATGCTACCGTCCTTCTTCTTAACAAATATGACTGGTGCTCCCCACGGGGACACACTTGGCCGGATAAACTGCTTAGCCGAAAGCTCTTCAATATGCTTCTTTAAC